CAACCATAGAAAATTACCACTGTTTTTTTCTGAAGCATAAAAGCAGCACTAAGACCAAACAAAACAGATCTATGCTCTTCTGTTCATAATTTATGGAAGCCATAAGACTCCACCATCCAACCTGAAAGCCTTAGAGACCAAACTAACCATGTCCAGGGACCTCAGCGACCACCACTGGTGCAGCTTGGCTAACTGGCAGCATTTTGAGGGCTCTCTGGGTTGCACAGGAACTCATTCTGCTCCTCTGGATGTCACACAACAGTTTATTCTCCAAGGCTGGCTAAAAGGGGGCAAGAAGCTGCTCAAAAAAAGCATTCGGGTATTTATTGGAAATGCCAATTGAGAACTGGTAAATACTGCCATTAGCCAAAAACATCACGATAATGACTTAAAAGTGACATTAAGTCTAGGACATAGGGAAGATCCTTATTCATCGAGAGCAGTGGCTGCACAAGGAGCCCAGCAGCTGCTAACACAGACAGCCCACAGCCACATTCCAGACGGCCAGGTCTGGCCACAGCTCTCTCCACGTAGTAAGCACGCATTGAAAAACGAAAGTCCCACACACCAGGGGGCATTTCTGCCCCAAATTTAAGAGCTTGGGGCAACAGCCGCTCTCCCACAGGAGGTGGAGGTGCCACGGGCACCGTTAGCAGCTTACAGCAATACCCGAAACCGCGATGCTCCGCAGCCCCGAGCCGCCTCAGGCCGCTGCCCAAACCTCTTCCCAGGAGCGCAGCCCAGCGCCGGCGTGCCGCAAACCGACGGCCGCGCAAAGCCCCGCTCCGCTGCAAGGGAGGGAAGGAGGCCCCGACCAGAGCCAGCCGTGCGGATATCGAGTGAGACAGAGCGGAGCGCACGGGAAGCGGGGCTGGACACTGCTGGAATAACTGCAGGAGCACGGAGCTGCGCCCGCTGCGGCTCAGGAGCTCCGCGCTCCCGCTTAGAGCCGGGCCTCCAACCCGCGGCGTTCGACGGAGCTGCCGGAGCCACGAGGATGTGCGGAGCGCCGCGGGACTCCGCCGGGGAGAGAGGCTGCGGAGCGCGGGCTGAGCAGCGGGACGGGAGCGGGACGCTTCGCGGGGATCTCGCTCCTCCGCCGCCGCAGCACCACCAGCCAGCGGCCGCCAGCAGCACGGCGCGGAGCGGCACGCCGGGCCGGGAGCGAACACCGCCGTTTCGCCGCGTTCTACGCCGGACCGCCGGGAAAGGAGCCGGCGGCCCTCGGAAGGTCGCGGCACGCCCGAGCCCGCCGCGCTCCGTCCCCGCTTCGCGCCTTCGCCCGCGGGACTCGGGACCCCCGCAGGCGGCGCGCGGTGAGCCGCCCCGGGCCCCGCCTCACCTGCAGCTGCCGGAACTCCTCGTCCAGCTCCCGCCACTCCCCGCAGCATCGCTCCAGCTGCACCCTCATGGCGCGGCGCACTGCGGCGTGGCTCGAGCCGCTGGGCCGGGGGGACGAGAGCGGCGCGAGCCCACAGCCCGGCCCGGCGGCCACGTGCGCCGCTGACGTCATCGCGCGGGGCTGAGGCGACGCGACGCGCCCCGCCCACCGGCGCGCCGCGCGCCCTCCTGAGGTAACGGCCGCCAACGGTCGGCGCGCGCAGCGGCGTGTGGGGCTGTGCAGGTGTGAGGGGGCCGGCTGCGCTCAGCACGGCTGTGCGGGACGCTGCCCGTCTCCGCCTCAGGACGGGTCCCGCTCTGACATTCTGCTGCAGAAAAGCATATTAAAAAATGCCACTCCTGGCTTCTCCACACCTTTCCTCTCCTGCCCGGTGTTACAGACAGGTCCCGCGGCTCAGCCAGAGGGTGAGGTGAATTCCTCCAGCTGTCCCTGAGGCTGCCGTGTTTTCTGGAGCCTGCTTTATCTCAGGAGAGCCCCCGTTCTTTCTATTTGTTCTTTCTATTTCTCCTGTCGGCCCGCTGGACAAACCACTCGTGCAGCTCAGTCAGCGGCCAGCCATTCCCATCCTGTGCGCTTTTCACATCCATCTCTAGGGTGCATCCTTACCTCCCCACCACTCCTCAGCACTGCCGCAGGTGAGGCTTGGATTCCGTTTATCATTTCACAGACAAGCTGTGCAGGTGTAACAGCCAGAGAGGCTCCTGAAGAGGGTTTGTGGCATCCCTGACGTGGTGCCTTAAACACAGCTTACTAAAAATGTCGGAAATGTACAGAAAGCAACCAGTGCTGGATGGTCAGAGTGGTGAGCGTTCCTCCCCTGCATCCCAGTGTTGCTGCATCACTGTGGTTTCTGGAGCCCGCAGCTGCTCTGGGTTTGAGGCTGTGAAACGGACCTTTGGGTGTCAATGTGTGAGGAATGCTGCATTTCCCCTGAACTTGAAGATTTTAAAGTTTTTAGGTTCTTGCAACTCTAACTTTCCATCTTTTTTAATGGCAGGCCTTTGAAAAGCGAATCTGTCAATAGAAAATCTGATCGTCAACCATCACTGCCAGAAAACATATCAAACATTGAGTTAATAATTCAAGTTAAAGATCACAGCAGTTGTGTCTGTTCCTCTGATGTTAACTTCTGTCGGAGTACTTGCAGTAATAGAGGTACAGTCAGATGTGAGCTCCTTTCGTTTGCCTGCCGGACTCCTGAACACAGATTGCATTCATTCTGTTCTCTTGTGATAACTGAGTCTGCTCCCATCGATTCTTTTCCTTTGTCTTACAAATATCAATTCTTTCTAGCAGTGCGAACAGGAAAGGATAAAATACAAATTCTAACACCAGGTGACTGTAAGCCATGACAACTAAAACATTCTAACTCATGTTTCTACGGGGAATTGGTGCTGCTGATCTCATCGTGTAATCGGGATTTATTCCTCCGTTCAGGACTTGGAACAAGTGAGGCGTTATCTCAAGTAGGGCCGAATTACTTTTGCCTTCATCATCGTCCTGTGATCTGCATGTTTTAAAGCAGCGCCCAGGGTCCTGCGGGCATTCTGTGGTTGCACAGCAAATGATTCTCAGCTCCGGGCGACTTCTCTGATTAACATCGGAATCCCTGAGCGGTGCTGTCACAGGTACTCAAGTAGAGACAATGAGCTGTAAATCTGCAGCAAACGAAATTCGGGGGGAAAGGCTGTCTGGTAGGCAGCAGCTGCAGCAGCTCTCTGGTAAACATGGCACTTTGCATGGATATGCGAGTGCTTGGGCATCTCAGATAACCCACAGATCTGACCTCAGATGGTCTGGATGTAAAAACAACACGATCTTTATCTCGAGAGAGCTGTTCACAGCAAAGAGATGGAAAGAAAGGCATTCCCGCAAGGCTGTCTTCTAAGCAAAAATCAGCCCGTGGAATTTCTGTCTCAAACTTTCTACTGCTACATCTCCTAAATCCTGTTCACAATAACTCTTCAAAACACCCGTGGGGAAAAGCTGTGAGTGCTGCCCCCACTGCTCGTTTGCCAAAGCTGACACACGTTTGTTACGGTCCAGGTCACTCCCACCTCTTCCTCTGGGTTTTAAATGGAGCGCAGCAGCAGTCAAACACACATCTGAGCATCCTGCTTTCACAGGATGTCGTTGTCACACTCTTCACCTTTAAAGAATTCCAGCATATGTTTCTCTGAGTGTTTCCTATATTTACAAAGTTCCCGGAACAAACTCATATTATTGGCTCTGACAGTTTTCAGTTGGTTTGGGCATTTCACTTTGGTGATTCCCTCTGCTTTGTGAGAGCAATCTCAGCTCAGAGCAGCTGTGTTTTTATTGCAGAAATGATTGGTTTCAGATATTGTAGAGCACCGAAGTCCTTTGGGTTCATTTAATAACAGCAACAAAATAAAATCTCACTTTTTAAACTGAAAAAAGACGAAAACTAAAGCCCACGGTGTGTCCTGTGACCTCGCTGCACACACGGCCGAGTCCTGCCTGCGCCCCCGCACACCTCCATCGCTCCGTTCAGCACACCGGGGCTACTGTCCAAACCTGAACTCAGAGAAAGGTTTGTAATACAGTACAGTAAGAATTACTGAATGTAATGCCACTCATTTGTCACTCATTTGAGGATCAGCCCTCAGCAGGACAGGCCGACCCTCCCAGGCCATCTTTGGTTCTGTTTAATGGAGCTGCGCTCTTGAGTTGTGTGCAGCTCATACTCGTCTATTATTCTCATTGCCATTGGCTTTTCTTACATCTGCCTCTGTGCTTTTTCTAAGCATTAAAGGGGTAAGAACCCAATCTGTGAATCTTGATTTGCTTCATTATCTTCTTTTCTTTATTGCATCCAAACCAGTTTAAAGTAAATACTGAATTTCAAACATATACATACATACCTGTGCCTTTCATTTGCCCAAAGCTGTGGGTTGGTGACACACTTTGGGCTTGCTTTTCTAAATCCGTGCACAAGCTGCACTGGTTAAAAATAAACACGTGCAATTGTCTGAGTTGGGAAATTAATTAATGGACCTGACAGATTCTCAGTTAACTGCAGCGCAATACAGTGGCTGAATTATTCAAGATTAATTAATTCAAGATAATTAATGCTTTTCCAGCAGGGCCCGTTTGTGCTCATAATACAAGGCCGTAACCTTGGGGCTGCAATAGGCATTTTTTCTTCTCCTTTGTGGGTTCCCCCCAATCCCTGCCCTGCTCCGCAGCCCCGCGCCTTCACTGTCCAGTGGTCCTCAGGCTCTGCACAAACCCTGAACACATTTGTGAAAGAGCGTGAAGAAATCCCCCTGAACACCTTTCTCTCATTCTTCATAACGGGAAATATATTTTTCTACCAGTATTTCCTCGCTGGGCCACTCTGCCCAGCACTCCGTCGTACCCACGCACCGCCGCCCGCACGCGCCGCACGCAGCACTCGCTCCCATTCCCTGCAGGCTCTCCGGGCCGCCCTCAGCCGGCGCTGCTCCCGCTCGCTCCGCGCACGCGTTGGCAGCGTCGCTATGACGACTCGGCGATGCCCGCGGCGGTGGCTGGAAGCGCTGCGCTCCCCTGCAGGTCGGTGCCCGCGGGGCGGCTGGGCCGGGCGGTCGGGAGGCGCGGGCTCGTCTGCAGGAGGGCTTTCCCGACCCACTGCCGCCTCGCTGGGAACGTCCTGCGCTGAGCTCACAATGAGCTCGTTTCCCACCGCTGCTGCCCGGCACCGCTGGTGAGGAGCGAGACGGGAAGCGCGATACACAACAACACTGCTCACTGGTCGTCACGGACTCCGTTTTTGTTAGCAGTGATTAGACACGAAATAACTTTTGAATCATCAAGTGGAGAGCTAAGGGTGAATGTCGACTCGTTTTCTAAGATACTCGATTTATTTAAGGTACTAGATTGTACTCCCTGGCAGTGAGATATTTCCTAAAATACAATTTTGCCATGTGCTTCAGTGAGCGCACCCTGCTGACGTGGAGGCAGAGGAGCAGCCTTAGGAAGGAGATCGGCTGTGTTCCTGCTGTGCCAGGACGGGTCTGACCTTCCCTGGTGTCCCAGAGTCCTCTTGAAGGTACACAGCCCCATCCTGCTGCAGCTTACTTAGCATTTCCCAACAAGCTACCAGCTTATTTTCAGATAGAGCTGTTTTGTACATTGGTATTTTTAGATACCTTCTGTTTGTTGCATCTTGATAGATATCAAACCCAGACCTCAATTACTGGCTCAGATGCACAGTAAAGTAAGCTTACAAACACACCGTTCTACCAGTACCTGCCTCTGTAATTTCTCCCTAATTCATTTCTGACAATCTTTGTTTTCCCTTCCAGCTGAGAACACGATGCCTGTTGTGAAATACCCCAGGGCTGCAGAGCCTCTCTGGCATGAATGGGACAGGAAAGCACAGAAAGATGGATTAAGACATACAGTCTATGCTGTAAATGGGGATCAGTATACTGGAGAATGGTTGGACAACTTAAAACATGGTAAGATCCATCATTTGGAGAAAAGCACCAACATAGGCATCTTTACAAAAGTTCAGGGCGTCAGGGAGCAGTCAGTCAGTGGCTGTGTGTGTTCATCCACGTACAACAGCATGTGTTTGATGCAACGCCGTGCAAAAATGTGCTCAGATATTTCTAATGGGTAATGAAGCGTGCGCTCAGCTGCAGGGCTGCTACTGAGACACCTAGGCTACAGATGTTAGAAATGCTCTGAACCCAGCGTGCTGCAGTCAGCTCCACGCACCCACAGCTGCACTGTGCTCTCAGTGCTCTCAGCTCCCAGCACACGGGTTGCAGGGAAAGCATAACCCAGGGCACAGACAGCCCAAAAAGCAGGGATGCTGCACTGCCAGCACCGAAACACACTGGCTTATGGTATAATCATTAAGCATCACACATTCTCCTACTCATCGTGATCATCTCCCTGCAATCCCTGTTTACTGAAACAGGTAAAGGCACCCAGATCTGGAAGCACAACGGCGCTGTTTACAGCGGCGACTGGAAGTTTGGGAAGCGGGACGGGTACGGCTCGTACAGCATCCCTGAGCCCGTGACCAAGGAGTACCTGAAGGTGTACACAGGCTGGTGGAGGAACGACAAAAAATGCGTAAGTGAGATTTCCTGCACCTGCCTTGAAACATGCAAAACAATCATTTAAAATACTGACTTTTTTCAAATGGCACCAGGCCCCCAGCTTGAAGGTCCAGAAGGGTTTGGGGGAAATGAGTATTGTGAAGCAAGGAAATGAAAGCAAGAGCTCTCGTGCTGAAGCCCTCTCCCGGTGGGAAAGCCTGCCCTCCCCAGCCTTCAGGCCTGGGTTTGCTTTAAAATTGGGCTTGTCCCTCCTGAAAGCTCAGGAAGTTCCAGGGGTGACATCCATCACACTGCAGAGCCCACAGACTCCAGCAGGAAGCACCCATCTCCCCATCCCCCGGTCCCTGCAGCACAGGAGGGTCAGGCCATGTGTCCATGTATGATTGCATGCTGACCCCAACACTGACGTGCTTCCAGCATGCTTGCAGCGCGGGAGGAACTTGTCCACAGAGCATGCACTGCAAGTGCTGTGAGAAAAACCAGCTTAGAAGCACTGTGCTGCAAGTTTTACAGCACATTAAGCAAAAAAGACAAGTTATGTTGGGAATTGAGCCCGTGACATAAATCACCAGCTTTTCTACAGGAAGCACAATGAGGAAGTCATCCGGTAAAAACAACTGCAATCCTATGAGCACAATCCTTTCAGGATTTTCTGATCTGCCCATGGAAGCCTTATGTTTGCCTTTGTGTCCACTGCTCTCGTGCTTCTAATTGGTGTGCAGCTCCACGGCTTGAGCCTCTTTGCAGGAGCTTCTTCCCTCATTCCCTGGGAATGTACTTTGGATGATTGAGTTTTGGCAAAACATTTACACTGACGTCCAAACAACAGTATTTTTATTTATTTTTCTTCTGCAAAATCCTCCCCTTTGCATCCAGGAAGTTTAATAGAATTACTGCTCTGAAGAATCAGCTATTGACACAGCGTTTTCTTTTTTCCCAAAAGGTAAATTACTGCTTTTGTCCTAAGGGAAAACTCCCTAATAACACGTAAATATTTCTCAGTGGTATGACGTCCCGTGACGAGGAAGTCTCTAACCTGGCCAACACAGACACAAGATAAACACCTCCCTGAGGTTTCCGGCTCACACACACCTAGTAGGCTTAATTCAGAAGTTCATTGATCAAATGTACACCAGCAGTGAGCTGAGAGATGGTCTGAGAAGCGGGAGCTGTTTGTGTTTACGGATGCAGCAGGAGCAAAATCCATTATTAGTGGCTCTGGAGATTGTTAGCCTGCCCCGGGCTGGGAAGGGGCTGCCAGCCTGGGATGCTGCAGACTGCAGGAGACATCAGCCCTGTCGTGGGACATCACATCCCAGTGGAAGAGCCACGTCACTCTGGTGGTGCATCCCCAGGTTTGTCAGACCTGCTTTTAGCCAATTAGCGCAGTCATGCCAAAAACAATACGCTGAGATACAGACCTGAGATTTTGCTATGGGAATTTGATAATTGGTCAACAAAATCCCATAGCATCACTTCTCATTTCCTGCAACACATAAACAGAGGTTGAATTAGGCTGCCGTCAGCTGTATCTAACAGTAGTAAGTAAAGGAGCAGCATACCGAGAAATTAATGCCCCAGAATTGAACACCAACACCTCTTGATAGAGAGGCTCCTGAGCAACTCCTCTGCTGCTGTGCAGGGCTACGGGACGATGCTCTACCCCAGCGGGGAGCGCTACGAGGGCGAGTGGAGCAGCGGGCAGAGGAGCGGCTGGGGTCGGATGTGCTACGGAGACGGCTCCACCTACGAGGGGCAGTGGCTGGGAGACCGGCCGGGCGGGCAGGGGATGCTGTGCCTGCGTAAGTACCTGCGAGCCGCCTGGCCTGTGTAAAACGCACGGCAAGCGGTGGCGGATCTTTGCTCCGAGATGAACGGTGGTGCCGCCTTGATCTCCAGCGCAGCCTGGCGGGGCAGAGGCTGGCGCCCCGTCTGGAGCCTCTCTCGAGCAAGCATCACGGGCAAGGGCGGGCCTGCGATGCTCCAGGCCACACACATGGAAGCTTGCTTTTGCTGTGATTTACATTGAAATGACGGAGATGGGTTAGAGACAATACATTACTGGGTCAGAGAAGAACAAATGGCTATTTTTAAGGCAGGCACATCGCCAGGCATACTTTCATACTTTCTAACTACTGCATACCAAAGAGTCCATTTTCCAGTACGTTACAAACAACAGTTCTGTTTCTGGGCTCCTTTCATCCCCTCTTGTACTTCCGACAGTGGCTCACAGTGAGAGAACGCAGGGGTTCGTTAGCACCCAATGCCTTCCCAGATGTGACACTTGAGTGTATCACAGATTGGAAATGTTGGGGCAATCCCATCATAAAATAGAAATTTGGATCTTTTTTCCTCTTATTTTGCTAGCGATTCAACTTTTTTTTTTTTTTCCAAAGCCAAGACTGCCAGTCCTTTGCAGTACAAAACACCACATTCCAGGAACATTTGAAGAAACATCACCTCCGCAGGTTATGATGATGATGATGATTATTAATCTCTTTTTTTCTTGGGGGCAATCTCAAGGCAAATCACTTACTAAGCAAAGCAGCCGGGAGGAACAAGCATGACCCCCCCCTGCACACTGTGTACACATCTACGCTTTGTCTGCTGGCTGTAAACCCATTTTGGATCAATGGCTCATACCAGTGACACCAACACATGCTTTCAGGGGCAGCTCATTCAGCTGCCTCACTTTGTTCCCATCCAAACCAATCTCCCTGTTACAAACCAGGCACCCTCTGGGTTTAGCAGCTGCTGCTGGGCTGCTCAAGAGCCCGCCTGTTCCAGGCAGAGCCCGGGACCCCACTGAGCCGGATTCCTTCTCGTTAAAATTAGCCAGAGCGATTATTTCATACGCGTAAGCTGAACGCATTCAGCTCAACTGCTGGAAGCGTGCCCACGTGCTGGCAGCACTGCAATGGTGAAAGAAAAAGGAGTTCTCCAGCGGAGGTCACGACAGCCGCAGCTCAGATTAAATCACTCGCCCTGGCCACGTGCCTGGCAGGGGGAGCAGCCAGGAGCAAAGTGCTGCTTCACCACCGCAGCTCAGACCAGAGCAGTGCAGCAGCAGGCAACGCAGCCCTGGGATCCTCCTCAGCAGATGTGAGCAATGCATGGGAACACCCGAGTGCTGCAGCACACCCTGTGCAGGCAACAGCCCCTCTGACGTAGCCTCAGCTTTGGACCTAGCTCCTGATGAGCACATGCAAATCTCACGGTCTGTTCATGTCTTTGATCGCAGCAAACAATGACAGGTACGAAGGAGGTTGGAAAGATGGAAAGAAGCACGGCCCAGGCAGATTCTTCTTCTTGGATAAGGGACAACTGCTTGAAGGCATCTGGGTGACAGATGTACCAAAATGCGGGATTATGATCGACTTCAACAGAGATGCAGCTCCTGCCCCCACCCAGTATCCAATCCCAAAGGTAACTGCTTGGAAATCCTGGTTTGCTAACGATGTCTATGCCAACAGCACTTGTTAGAGCTCACGGTACCTATTTGGGTCATGCCTTCTCTTCAGGTAGTCACTCGGGATCTGTACTCAAGCTCTTTTGGTTAGCAGTGACCCGAACATCCCCGCAGGGCCAAGCTGCTGGCTCAGTGGCACGAGGCCCCGCTGGAGCCTTGGACCTGCCTGCGCTTCTGAAAATGCAGTTCTGCACCAAAACTGCTAAGCGCTCCGACCCAGCACAAAGGAGATGCAGCTAACAGCCAGAGACAACAGTGGGATTTGTGTCAAAACTACATGATTTCTCCCAGCCCTATGGCTAAGGCTGACCACACCTTGCCAAGCCAGCTGAGCCCCACACCAGCTCTGTTCCCCAGCCCAGGCAGTGCCCACACCAACATCCCTGCTGCCCTGTTCCCTTGAGAGCAGCAAACAGTGCAGAGCTTTGCTGAGAACTGAGCTGCAACACCTTCAATGATCACAACTTGGCACACAGCCGCTTTTTTCCAGCAGTGCAGGGAACAGAGGCCTCACAGCCAGTGACATTTCTTACCTTGTAATGCTGCTCCAGGAACAGGATTGTAGTAATTAGTGCTGGGCACAGCACAGCCTGCTGAGGCCCACAGCTCTTACAACTTCATTTCCTAACTTCATCCACATCTTCTTTCTCTAGTAAGGTTCTCCAGCATTTTTGACAGCCAGTTCCTTCTTCAAGTTTAAGGTACGGTCACAGCAGCACAGAATAATAAAAAACAAACACCAAAGAAAAGCAGCCCCAATTTTGCAAAAAGAGCAGTGCTTCTAAAAATCTAAACTAAAAATCTTTACCTCACATGATTTGTCAGAGATCACTCAAGAGAGCTGCCTCTTCAGCATCTCAGCCCAGGGCACAGGATGAATTTCATAGCTGCTAAAGCAGGGTGCTTGAGCCCAGCAGCTCAATTAACTCCCATGAAGACCAAATTATAACCCAGTTTTCCTTGTTTTATGAACTAAAAGAAAGCATCAGCTCTCACTGCCATTATTGTGCTTTCAGCTGGAAGAGATTTATTGATCTCAGAACAGGAATGAAGAAACATAAAAGGAGAACAATTGACTACAGGCTTTCATAAACCATTTGTCAAATTACCATCAGTAGCACCAGTTAGGGAAAACTCAGCCTTCTTTCCTTTTGAGGCATGCAAGGAAAATGAGCAATAGAAGGATGTGTTTGAGAGAGCCCTGACTGTAGTGAGGGGAAGGACAACCGAGTGGCCTTGGAGCACTGCTGTCCTAGTTACTGCAGCCAGGGCTTTGTAAGGCTTCATGGAACAAGGACCCTGTCTTCTACTGGGGAGGGAGAACACACACGTAAAGCCCCCAGCACGTGTGGGGCTATAAAGCATGATGACAAGCTCCTGGCACGGCTTTAGTGCTTCCCTTTGCATTATCTGCATGGCCCCCATTTGATGACATGGACTCCTGCTTTCACGTGACTTACTGATGCTCAGCCGTATGACTGCTCATTACTCACTGTGGAACTGCAGGCGAGATCCAACAGGCTGCAAACCAGAGCCAGTTTTGCCCAGGAATTGCTTTTGTTAAAGAAGAATCAGCGCAGCGCTCCATGCTGGGGGAGTGCAAGGAGACAAATGGATTCAACACTGTAATGAAATTCAGGAAGTGCAGTGATGTTTCTGAATTAGTAACTGAAAGGTTGTGGTATAAACTACAGTCCTGCTGCACAGGAGATGCTCTGTTAACGTTAATCAATAGCTATAAACTTTAAGCCTCTTTAATTACACCGCATAATTGATTTCTGTTCCTTTTATTTAGATTGAACTAGCTGATCCTGATGGTGTTTTAGCAGAGGCCCGAGTGCTTTTTGATGACAGCCAGAACGACTAACCAGATGCTGAAGGACAAAAGACGCAGGATTAGAACATGATCTCGGGTTACTTACGTGCCTCATGCCCATGCTGCTGTACGTCGTCTTGTGGTCAGCCTCACCCGTCCCCCAGAACTGCCCCTGTGTGCCTCACTGTGCAGGCAGCTGTGCTTCAGGCCTCCTCCCACCCACCGTTATTTAAACACGAGCAGCAATCAAATAACAACCACTCACAGCAGCAAAATGCGCTGGGGGATGCAGCGACTCTTTGCCCAGCTCCTGGCTCATTCCTCCTGCTGCTCACAAGGTCAGTGGCTGCCTGCTGAGGAACACACCGGGCAGCAGGCAATTGGTTCACCTGATTTAAACTACGCTCCCGATATCACATCCTGTTTACAGCTGCGAGGTCCCTTTTCACTTTCTGTCAGCTGGAAGATAACCTACTTTTCTATTTAAACACTTGGAAAAGAGCAGAGCACTTAGTGTCAAGATTTAAACAGTGCTGATGGCAGGAAAAGCATTCTGCCAACATTAGGCTCTTTATACCTGTGTGAACAGGAAACACCATCTTTGTATGACTGCAGTGAGAAGCTGCATACATTTCAGAGACCCTCAGCAATACAGTGAGGATTAGCAACAACACAGGCAGGCAGAGGCAATGGATGTAGAGAAAATAAGTATTTTTAGGCATCTAGGTAACAATCAGCAACAATTGAGTATATTTTATTTCATTATCTGAAGTTATTTTATATCTAAATAATTGATATACAATAACTGACATTTAAAATGCTTGAGGTAAACATGAAATACCATTAGTATAAATAAAGAACAAAAAACAAGCTGAAGTGCACTCAACATCTGGAGCCATACGATCAGGCCTGGTTACTGCCTCAGGCACACAGTTATGAGACGTGGCCAAGGCACAACTTTTGTGACCATTTCCACAGCTGGAAAACGAGAGAAACACTTGATATCAGAGATTAAAGTGCAGAAAATAGTCAGTGAAATGGCTGGGGCTGACAGCTCCAATAGGTGAGGACCTACTGGCTTGAGAAAGTTAAAAAATAAGCTCGTAATTTTATATTTCCTAAACAAAACACTTTCATTTTGTAAAAGACCCACAAGATAAAAAGTCCAGAACCCTACCAAGAACAGCGAATAACTTTACAAAATAAGCTTGGATAATATATTTTCTGGACTTATATTCAAAATAATGTTAGGACTTTTAAATACATCATTTACAGACAGATGCATAATTTTTCAGCCCTATAGCACCCTTCTGACCATTTGTTCCAGAACGATCGAGTCAAATCTGCTTCCTTTACTGCTGTTTTGAGAATCTCCCCTCCCAGGACGCGACTGGTATTCCACCGAGAGATGGGAAAACAAACTCTGTGTCTGCCTCAGTTACTGTGGTTTGGAATGCTGTTTTCTTACTGCCTTCACTATCAGAATCTTTACAGTGCTCCATGAACAAACGTGTGAGGAATCGTAGCCACAGTTCTCACCATCGATAGATTTACACCAGTATGAGAACACCTGAAACACAACGGAATGGCAGAGCGGGAGAAAATCCTGCCAGGCCTCTGTACAGCAGGAGGCCCTGGGAAACTGGTGTGTGGAAAAGAGTTTTCTGCCAATAGGCAGAGGATACCCCAGGAAACCTGCTGAAAAAACACCAGGTCCTCTTCTAATGGCTGTTTTTCAGAACAGATGCACCACTGTCAACACCTTCCACATCCCATAGACTGAAAATACATTGGGATAACCTGAGATGGAGGCTGGGTGTAAGAGACCACATTCAGCCCAGGCTCACTCAGGTACAGTTCCCTGTACTGTCACATTCACCAGTCTGATTGAAAAACAAACAAACAAAAACAACAAAACCACCAGTTTATATTCCACAGTGTTAGCTACTGCAGGAGGTAAAGGTATGCTCCATTCGATTTGAAACCCGTCTCAGTTTGTCTTCAAAAATGGCTTTGACCCATTACAAACCAAAGCTTTTCTACACAAGAATTGCATTCCAAAGAAAATCCACTTACAGACATAGCTGGAATTACTGCAGCAGCCCAGGACTACTGCTGCATCCTTCTTGGCCAAACCTCTCACGTGAGAGGCCCAAGGGAAGTTTTAGGTTAAGGAAGAAATTAAAAATAAAAAAAAAAATGACACCAGAGCCTCACTAGCATAGATTCATGTCTGAAAGTAAGCAGCAATATTAGTTACAAATAATCTACTTTCATAAATATATCTATGGAGATTAAAAATAGCTTCCAGAGGATCTGGAAGGCAAAAAACATCTTAAGAAGTTACTAAGGGCAGCACTTCAGCAAGCAGAAGACTTTTTCTAAACAAGGAAGACCAAGGCTTAGCAATAGCTAATTACTTGGGAATCCAATGCAGAGAAAGCACCTTTTGCAGCTTGTATCTGAGGATTTATTAAAAATATATTTTTAATATAAAAGTATAAAATAATTGCTACTTTGACTTGGAAAAAACAGCAGTGGTTCTGATCTTCAAGCAAAAAAATATCCAGTGATAATTTCCATTTAGTTCCTTCTTTTTAAAAAAAGATTCCTAAATGGAAAACAGGCAGTTCTATCTCTCCAGATAATACATGCCAGCTTCTGAGAACTTGAAAACAGTTATTGCTTTTATTTTCTTCCAAAGAAGAGCATAGCAGTCTCATTCCTTCTCCTGTGGCCATACCACATGGCAGCAGAACGAGTCACGGGTGTTCAGTGAGTTACACAGCATGCAGCTGCCATGGAAAGGTGCTGGAGAAGTCACTGATGTAAGAATTACTTGGCAGCAAAACACACTGGAGAAAGTGGTGGGAGAGCTTTCCCTTCTACCATCTGTCAGACTGAGAGAACTGAGAGTGCTAGCACTGAAACTGAGTGCTAATTGCTGCATATCCCAAGTAATTTGTATCATGCCATGCAACGCGGACTGGACAAACAGTATCTTCTAGTAAATGCCAACGTTAAACAAAGAGGAAAAAGCTTCTCTGTCCATCCCTATCACCCAAATGTACAGCATTACTCTCCTTGCATTTGTGTAGCCACCATTCAGTGGCAGGCAGAAACAAATGAGAGTGCTCAGAAAAGGGATGTGGCACATGCACATCCGGTCATCCATTCCTTCTGGTCTCAGCTAGCCATGGTAAGGGGAGAACTGTTGTGGGTTGGTTTTTTTTCCCCAAACATTTATAAACTTCTATGAAAAGAAAATCAACAGTTTGAACATTCATGCATGGGGGAGTCAACATAAGGCAGGAGCAGAACGGTGGATTTATTTTCTTTAAGTACAGGTTTATGCAAAATGGGTAACAGCTGGGGAGATGGCATCACCTCTGTGATCCAGCTGATCCTGGAGCCGTGCAAATTCAGCAAGTTCATTCAATTCTTGAAACTGCCTGTCTGTTTTATGGCTCACCAGAGACCTGTAGAAGTGGACTGCAAAGACAATGAAAATCAGTCCAAAGGGAACCATGATAGACGTCGATGCAATGGCTGCTGCCTGTCCTGACGTGATGCTGGAATTGCTGCTCTGAGCTGGGTCAAGGGGGTTCTTCTTCAAGGGAAGAAACTTCACCCAACACAGCAACACCACCTCTGCAAGAAAGAGCAAAGTCCCAATGACAGTAGAAAATGCCCAGGCAAGCTCAATGTGCCGATGCATACGCTCATGAGGAGATTCCTTTACAGAGTTGAGATTATGCACGTTGCTAACAGCCTCTATATTTGGAAGAATGCAGGTACTTATCATGAGTGCAAAAAGGTGAACTGCAACAAGGACTGTAGTACAGGCACTGAATGCTATCAGGAGACCTCGTGGGTAGTCATGCTCTGCATCAAGTTGAACTTCTACCATGGCCACCTGAAAGGAAAGGGAAAAAAAGGAGATATAATTACCTCTGTTACATACTGCTTGACTACCAATTCTGATTTTAAATGATTTTAATTGCAGGATAATTAGGCATGTCATTCTAATTCTGCTTATGCCGAGACAATAAAAATACTTACTTGATGCTCCAATGACTCTGGAACTTCACCTGATCCAAACAAAGCGACAGGCTGCACCACACTTCAGTCTTAGGTGGCAGCCATCACACAAAGCCACCCCTTCACATTTACTGCTCAGCTTAAAGCCAACCATCAGCGTGCACAAAAGCCTCGAGCAGCACAGCCACTGAGCTACCTCCAGCTCATCCCACAGAACAGCTGCATTTTAACAGTCCAACCATGCTGATCACAAGGTGGAAGAGTTCTTCTTTCCCACACTACTAAAGTGGCAGACTCTAGACTCTAAATATTGCTGAGTGTTATGAAATGCTTTGTGTCGCATACGTACGTAGAATGAATGCCGTGCGAAGTCATTTGAAGTAGGTATCAGTAACATGGCTGCCTTTAAGGCTGCAGACTGCCTTCAAACCCTGCTACTCCTTTCATCTTCTGTGCCTGTGTTCTGAAGAGCCAGAGCCCTTCATTAGAGGATCACCTTTCCACAGGGCTCTCAGTTACATTCTTTCACTCAAAATAAGGTTAAAGCAAACTTCCAGAAAAAAAAAAGAGGTTCAGAACACCAAAGGCTCCACCATGTGCATGGTGCCAAATACATGTTAGAGGGAAGTGGTGTGGGGAAGGCTGAAAGAAGGAAAAATAATGTTCTCCTAGGCAAGAAAAGTGAACAAAACCAATGAGGGGAAGATTCCAGAAGGAATTATTCAATTCAGCATGCTAAGATCTCAGATCCAGAAAACACAGTAGTTACTCCTCTTTGAAATAATAACAGGGTGTTTACAGCAGAAATCCTCCTGTTCAAGGAATGAAGCAGTATGAGAAGCCCTGGCCAGCACCAACCTCTGGAAGCTGCAGCTGTAGCCACGTCGCTGGGAAAGCATCTCTCCCGTGTCTCATCAGCACAGGTTTGGCCCATTGCTGCACCACACAGATGGCTTAAATGGTGCTCAGACTACGGCACGCATCTCAGACACCTTAATTTTCATCAAAAACTCACAAGGAAAAATGTTCATAGACAGCTGCACAAACAGTGAGCATTCAAACCTCACTGCTTTGCTGGAGCAACTAAAACTGCACCAAGTGTGGGGTCCCAGCTCCACACACACAGAGCCAGCACGTCCTATGGCACCCCAACTCCTAACTGCCTGCCCCAAACGTTAAGCCAACCAAGGCTCTTACACACGTTTCAACAGGCACTCCAGGCCATTTGCCAATATTTTAATTCCTTTATTGAAAGCTCTTGTCATCATAAGCCCAACCAACCAGCCAAGCTAGTGAGCAGCATCCAAGTGCTAAAGAAACTCCACAAGAAATTACAGTAATACATACACAATTCTTGCGTGAAGGTTTTAAAATAACCACTTCTCAGCTGTGAAAAACTTCACAGTTGAGAGGATAAACATATGGCCGTCAGGTCTCCCTTCAGCAGGGATTGCTCTCTAAGTCCCCATGCACTCGTGGGATGCTGGGCTTCCTGTGCTGTGTTTTTCACAGAACAACTGCAAGCCTTCACCACTGAGGAGTCATTTTCTTACTTATCAACATTTTTTCCATGTACATTTTCTGGTGTGTAGCTTGAATGCAAAAGCTGGGCTGCTGGGTCTGTTGCAGACTCAGTAATTCTCCACTCTTGCAGGTCATTTAAATCCTCCATCCCAGTTCTCATTATGATAACAACCAAATGAGACACCAAGGAACACCATAAGATAAATATTTTTTTCTCATAAGAACTGATTATTTCTGAAGTATTTCATTCGCCAAATGTTGATAACATTAATGATGATATCAAGCAGCTGATTCTAAAGTTCAGACAGGCTCATAGTTGCAACATATTGGCTGTTCTGGAGCTCTTCCCATTTCAACGGCATCAGAAAGAAAGCTCTTTCCCTAGGCTGAGCTAAAGGAAATCTCAAACAATTACATGTAATCTACAAGTACCTAGTTATGATTTGCCTTTACTTAAATGCAACCAAAAGAGCATCTTACACGAGAACAGCATAATTCAAGCAGCATTCACGCATTCAGAGAGGTCTGTGCAGAGACAATCATAGGGACTTCTGATCTCCAAGAAGCAGAGATCCTGGCCAGGCATCTGCTGAGGAAAAAGGCTGCATTTTATCACTGCTGGACACCCCACATGAGTCTCTACCATCACAACACCACGACAGGACAGGTGGAACCTGAGCTTGAGGGACACAAACAAGGCTTCGGCATCTGTGGCTGATGGGCATTAAGGCAGAGCAGCTTTGCACAGGGCGCCTGCTGCGCTGGCCGGCCCCATATGGCTTCTGTGAGTGCTTTCTGAAACACGCTGAGACCAACTCGAAAGCAGGAAGGGTGTAACTTCCTTCAGCTCAAACCATACCGTGCAACTAGCTGCTGTGACTGCAAGCATACCATCTCTGTAAGAAGAATTACAGGCGGCACCAACACCATCTCAAGGCAGTGCAGTAAGCTGGCAGCCAGGCAGGCACCACTGCACACTGCCCAGTATTCCCAGTTTGAGAATGGGCAAACAAGGCAGAAGCCATCTGCCCACTTGAAAAACAGCTGGAAAAATATTTCTCCTGACGCTAAGGAGATGACAGCTTCATAGATTCAGCCTTCCAAGGGACCAGTGCGAAAGCTCCACACTTTGAACATTCAGGGTATATTGAGACATGATCAGTGCTGCCCACCAACACTGACAGCTCTTTGCAGACTACACGCTCTCCAGAAAGGGGGGTGGATGTTTTTCTTAAACTTTCCTTGATGAGAAAATGTGCCTAAGAAACAAAGACATAAGAGTTTTTCATGTGTTCATAGACAGGAAAGGAAAAAAAATTATGCTGAAGCAATTAGTTGTACAGAGACACCCTTAAGCAAAAGGGAAACACACTCTATTGCAGTTGTGACATAGTGTTAGAAACACCCTGAAAGGAGCAGGGAAAGCAAGAAAGCACTTCTGTTTTGCATTCATTCAGCATCAATGGATACTTCAGAAATCCCTTCAGATAGAGGCTGTAGGATGCAGAATGCCCAAAGGATTTCAAAGCCTACTAAAGTTGATAGAAAGCCTCCACAGGGGGCACAGCAAAGCCGCCTTGTGCTTGCGCCTGGCAGAGCAACTCCCGCTTGACCTGTAAGTGAGAAATCAGTTCATGTTTTCTGTCTCCTCAAACTACCAAGGAAGTTGCTTTGGGAACCTTTCTCTGGAAAACAGCAGAAAAACTGCCAACACTTCTCAGTTGCAAGCTTCCATTCTAAAGAAAGTAAACAGCACAGGCCAGGCACCTAAAACAGAAAGCTCCATTTTTCATTGAGGTCCTGCATCTGCTTTCCAACAGTAAAGCAAAGCACAACAAGTTCCTGCCTCCTTTGCTCCTGCTGCAACTTCAAAATAAACAGATGAGAACTGCTCTTGTAAGGTCATGCTTGCAATTCCAGGGCCAAGGTGAGCATGTTTGCTAAGATCTAATCCCACACAGTGCAAAGTCTAACATATAGATGCTGATGTTCCACACAGGACTTTTTCCTCTGTGACCTCTAGTAGTTTTCTACGCTGACTCAAACATGCAACCCTCAGAGCACTGATGTCTCCATGGTATCCAAAACAACTGCTTCAGCATCTTTGCCTTCACCACTTTTAAAGTTTCTTTGAACACTTGCTACCTGATTTGTATTGCACAGCTGACAGGGCACTGCATGCATCTTGCCTTGCTGCATAACCAGAGCGTAATGCAGGCTGGGAGACACCTCAAGAGGTCATCTGCTCTAATCCCCAGCTCCGAGAAGAGCTAACTTTAACTTCAGGTCATCCTACAGATATGATCGACAGATTTACTGCAGCCCTTGACAAATCTGTAAGTCTGAAACAGAGCTTCCTAACAAAACTCAAAGACTCATGATTTCAGGATACAAGACTGGAGTTTGCATAAGGCCACAGAAGGGCAGCGCTCACACTTTCAAGAGATGACTGAGTTTGGGCACATGTCATGTTCAAGCCTTCAACAGTTCTGGATTTCACAGTTATGGGAGCCTGAACAATACCAGTCTGCAAGAAATCAGCCTACCCTCTTGAAGAAGCTGCTGAAATTTCAGCTCTATTTACAATTCAGTGTCCTGAAACAAGTTCATTTCACTTGCTTGCGTACAATATTTCCATGTCTCATTACACTCTGAAAAGAAAAGGAAAATGCTGAGCACTCCTGAAGTTTCTATCCATAGAAGAGCACTGACACAGTGACTGACAAACACCAGTAACAAGGAATGAGCTGTGCTATGCTGGTAAAGCAATTTTCATCAGCAACAACACCATTTTCTACAGAGAACTGGTCGCT